CTGGTTTAATTGGCTGATTTTTACTGAAAATCCTTTCATCAGTTAGTGGATCCTTCCATTTTACTTCCTTACATTCACATCGTGCTGCTATTTCTTTAGCAATTTTATTACAATTTGTGCATATAATATGACTATGGTATTCATATTCTCCACAACTAGAGTGATCATATTTGTTTTCATATGGTCCTCTGAATCGCATTTTTGAATTTATTTCTCTACATATATAAGGTACTTCTATTAAACTTGCTTTTGTTTTTGCTTCGCCTTGACTATTCACTTTTGCTTCTTCCTTTTCTTTCGCTTTTAAGGGCTTTAGTTTATTCGCACACTCACCCTTAAGAGATGCGACTTCTAGTTTAAATGCTGTTGGTTATTATTATTATTACTGTTATTATTGTAATTATTATTTTATTATTATTTCTATAATTTCTATTCTTGCTATTATTGCAGTTACGATTTCTGTTGTTATTATTTTGAAAGTTTTGACCTCTATTATTGTTTGTACTCCTGCAATCTTTGGCGAAATGGCCATATTTCCTACAGTTAAAGCATTCAATATTTGATTGGTCATTATTCATACGTCGATTACTTCTACAATCTCTAGACAAGTATCCAAATTTTCCACAATTAAAATATTTGCGTGGCCGTTGTTGTGGCTGTTGCTGCTGCTGTTGTTGTTATTGCTGCTATTGCCCAATGTTTGCTATAATCGCTTATAACCCTTCATTCAGTTTGCAATTAATAGTGCTCTCAATATCTGGTTGCTGTGTAATATATGTAGGTTGCATTGCTATATTTGTGCGAGCTGATACCATTTCTTCTTGTAATAATTGCATGTAATTAGGCATCAATGAATAGGCAGATAATTCCATTCAATAGAATATGCAGATTCTACTGCTCTGGCCTTTTCGATTGCTTGATCTACTATTGTTAGCATTGCTGTTTGTACTGGTACCATAAATTCTGATCGCAGCCCTTCAATAAATTCAGCAACTTTATACATCTCAGCTCGCCTATATTATAGGTCAACTCACTTCTATAATTCTCCTATTGCTGCCGCATATTTCTCAATTGTTTTACCTGGTTTCTGTGTCCTATGCCTAAGCTGATGCTTCTATTGATTTTATCAAAATGCATTGCAGAAATATTGTTCAAATAATGGTACGAAGGAAGTACCGGGATTGATCCTACTATTCCAGTTGGTAACATATTGTCGTTGGAACCATGTCAGTACTGTTCTTGTTAAATAACTGAGAACTATTTCAACCATTTGAGTAGTATTGATACAGTTTGCTTTACAAGCTCGTTTGAAAGCCTCAAATCACTCCACTGGGTCCTGATTTCCTCCTCTAAATATTGGTAAATCTACTAATTGTTGTTCTCTTGTTTGTTGTCCTTGAAGCTATCCTGCTAGCCCTTGTATGACTTAAAGGTAGGTATTGTCATTGTTTCCTCTTACTGGTACTATAGCTGGTTGAGGTGTAAGTATTGGCTGAAAGGTGTTTATATTATTTGACGGTTGACTGCTAGGTACTGACTGAGAAGTTGTTGTGCTGGTTAATCAAGAATTACTCCCCCCCAGGAGTTTGATAGTAGTCGCATATTATATGGTTGGGCTACTGTTATTGACTGTGGGGTTCCTTTGGTAGTTACATTTTGATGTCCCATTGTATTATTTCTTCTGTTACTTGAGTTACTTTTAAGCCAACGGTTATTTACTGGTTGCCAGTTTGCAGTTATAAAACTAAAGGTTGTAGATAGGTTGCTATTTCGGAGAGGATTAAGTGATGCCAAGGGGTCAAATATACAACTATGTTGAGTTGTTTGGGAAAAATTGTAGGGATTTCCTAATGATGATCCACTATTTGTATTTCCTACCGATAGAGTTGTTACCCTTAAATTTGATGGCCTTAATGATTGATTACTGGATAATGTTAAGGTTACTAATTGTTGAATATTTTCTACCCTAATAGGGGATAGAGATCTCCTATCATTACTTGTATTAAATGTAACTCTTCGAGGTATTCTACTTGGGGTTCCTCCTCTCTCTAGTTTATTTGTATTGTCAAAGAAAGATGTTTCCTGTAATGTTTCATCATCGTCATTAACATATCCAAATAGGATATTTTGTTCATAATCAGGGGCATATGTATCATTTTCTTCTTCGTCATATTGCCTCCTATCTCCCAGATATAGTTGTCGTAGTTGTACATATGATAGTATATTAAATAGTGGTTGAGATGTGGTAGTTCCTGATGGTGGTTCATATATTGCTACTGGCAGTGTCATCCCTAGGGAACTTTTATTGCTTCCCTAAAAAGGTGCTATGATAGTATCATTTTGATCCCTTTCCATATTTCCTGAGGTATCACTACAATTGCTATTTATAATTGAGTTGGTACTGCTAACACTTTCAATTTCTCATGATTGAAACTGTTTTGTTTTTACCCAAATTTGATATAATTTATTAGCGATGCTATCAAAGGATTCCTTTAGTATGTTGTCCCTATATCTTATTTTAGTAACAATTTTTCTCAACAAATATTTCAATAAGTGATCTCTTTTCAAAAGCTAGCCTCACTCTCTTGGGCCCTTATAAAATATGCTACAGTAAAAGTAGTGTATAATATAGCGTTATATTTAGATACAATCCACAGAAACTAAAAATTATCGAAAAATGATAGTTTTCCTGATTGAGTTTCGTAGTCTGAATGATACTGTAGGCAGGATTGATCTAAATGGATAATAAATGAGATTTTATGATCCTCAAGTTCCTTATGAGTAGCTATGTATTGTCAGACAGTTAGTAGGTATTGTTCCTCAGTGATATGATCAGTGCTAGATTCCTCCAGATTTATTGAGATTCGTTGTCAAAGTAGTCATCACTAAATACTAATTCGTCTCACATGGCCTTAATCTTATGAAATTCAATAAAATGTTTTAGGTCGTTAATGTTACTTTGTAAACGTTTAAGATGATTAATTGAAATAGTTTCTTCGTTCTCTAATGATTTATACTGAAATTGAATCTCAGCGACTCGCAGCTAGAGTTGGAGAAGAATAGGTCCTACAGCTACTGTTAATTGTCTGTGTCTTTCGCATACGTTTAATTTGTCAGATTGGTTTTTATTCCACCCAACTCGTACCAAATTGTTATTTTACGATACTAACAACTGAAAATTAGTATTAATGTAAGATTAATAAAAGGATTTAGCTTTTATTCAATACTTTTTAAGGAGAGCTCTGAAGGGTTTATTACTTCAAATGATAATGTATATTTTAGAATAAACTTTAAGGATTTATTAAAGAATAAAGAATTCAATACAATTATATTTGTTAGCATATAACTGTTATTAGTATTTATCTTATTGGTGATAAAACTAATTGAATTCTAAATGTTTACAATTATCTTGTTATAGTTGTCTACTGCTATCTAATCATATTCTTTAACCAAGTCCTAAAGCTATCCTATTTATACTAATTCTGCTAATATAAATAAATAAAA